TGAGTCAGGGGTTAGACACTGGACCACTCAGGGACTCAAGGGCTTTCATGGGTAATAGTGGCTACAGCCACTCCAGATGGGATGAGATTCCTGTTAATTGACTGTTCACAAGGTCCTGTTTCTCACTGTCACCAACATGAGCGTTTCTTGCTGTTTTTGATGCAAGATCCATGTCTTTTGTATAGATCCTTGCAACAGCCTTTGAATTCTTACCAACTTGGATGCAGTTGTATCAAGTTATCTAGATCTGGGACACTCATGAACTACCTGTGGCATTTTTGAGTGATGTAGGGACAAGGACACAGCTATTTACTGTCATTCTCAGTAACTGAGGAGTTTCCTTAATCTTTTAGGGACCACAATTCAGGAAACCCAAGATTCATGGATTTGACATACATAGAAAAGAATTTCAGGATGAGCCAATACAAAGCAGAGTTAGGGGTTTGTTGATGGTATTTTAATAAAGATTTTAAACATGGCGATTAAGAAACAGAGAAATTCCAAAGGGATGGTACACCTGACAGCATGGGTGTAGGAATCACCAAGAGTCAGAGTTTATTAGATTTTATGCAAGAATGTTAAGAAAAAGAAGCTGGAAAAAAGAGCAAGGCGTATATCAAAGTGTAGGTGTGTGCGTCTCAAGGGAGGCTCCGCGTTTCATTGTCTTACAATTATCTTATGTAGGATTTTGTGGGGTTGAAGCTATTGTCTTCAAAGGGTTGCTAAGGAGCTTGGATGAGATCACGAAGTGTTTCCCAAGGGGCACTTGACAGGATTATTATTGATAAGGCAAAGCTCTAGATCACAGGATACAGGAAGGTACAATAGTGCCATTATAATTAACGTTAATAGTCTTATTTAAGATTCTCAGAGACTGTTTGGGAGAGGATTGAGGCCCTACCCAAGGTCATGAGCATTTAAGCTGTGATCTCGGCTCATTGCCACTTTAACATATCTTTACATAAAAGAAGTATTATCTATGGGGCCTTGGTAGTAGCTCAGTATATATCCCTGGCATACAAATGGACTTTGGGTGCCCATCCAACAATGAGAGATGCTCTCTCAGCTTGGGCTCTTGGGGGAGGGTCTAGGCCCTACAAGGGAGAGGGACCCGGGATTGACATGTGAAGCAACCTTGTTTCTAATTTAAATTTAAAAATAAAAATTAAAAAAGTATTATCTCTGTGCTTTTTGTCTTCACAGCAAATGCTGATTTCCCTGGAAGTTTTGCTTCTTAGCTGGCCAGAAGCTTCAAGCAAACATCATAGTGGGGGCCTTTTTTTTCTATCTTGAGGGCTCCATAGTTTCCCCTGTCTTTATGTTCTGCATCTTTTCTTCTTTTTCTCTGGAATTATTATTTACATCTATAGATCTATTTGCTCCATCCCCGGAGACTTTCCGCTTCTGTTTCCAAGGTGACAACTAGCTGGCAGACAGATTAACTTGTGCTAAGCTCTCCATTGCCACAAAGACGCATCTCTGAGTAATCCGAACACTCTAAAGCTAAGTAGCAATCAGGATGTTTTTTTTCTGAAGTAAATTGATTTCATACCCAAACTACTGACTTCCACAAGTAAATCTTTTGTTTGTACGCACACACACACACACACACACACACACACACACATACATGCGTGTACAGGTGCAGTTGTATATATCTGCATGCAGAGGCTAGTGGTCAATATCAGTTGTCTTTCCTAAGTCTCATCTGACTTTTTGGCACAGGTTTTCTCAGTGGCCAAGGGATTGATGAGTAGTCTAAGATGGCTCACCATTGAGTCCAAGAAATCAGCCTGCCAATGCTTCCCCAGTGGGGGCATTACAACCATGTACCACTGTGACTGGATATTTTAGATTTCTAATGTTTGTCCTGGAGAATCAAACTTGGATCTTCACACTTGTGTAGTAAGTACCTTATGAAGTGAATTATCTCCCCATCCCAGTTTATGCAGTTTCTAATCATATTATGGTAATGATTGGTTCTCATTATTAATTTTATGGGAATTAAAATCATGGAAACACCCCTTCACGGGATGTCTATAAAGGTGTTTCTAGGGAAGGTTAACTAAACTGGGAAGATCTACCCTAAGTGTGGACAGCACATTTCTGTAGTTAGTGGGTTCCTAAAACCAATGGACAGGGGAACGGTACCTGGCACTTATATTCATTTCTCATTGTTTCTCGACTGTGGGTCAACTGACCAGCCGTCTCGTTCTGTCATCAGGTTCTCCCTGCCATCATGGGATTTATCCTCAGACTGTCACCCAAAATACATCCACTCCCTGCTAAAGTTGCTCTTATCAGATGCTTTGTCCCATCAATGAGAATGATAACTAATACAGTTGTTCATGTAGTCATGTAGATATGATCATGGCAAATATAGCTACTTGGTTTAATGACTTTAATTCCATCGTGGAGCATTCTGAGCCTTCATCATATGGTCAAGGATGGCAGGAGAGTAAATCATGGTCTTACTCAGGCTCTGAGCCTTTCAGCTAACACTGTAGAAAGATTTTACAAACCTCTTGGGTTGGGCATTTGGGGCAAAGACGGACAGCAAGTTGTTGACTCCACCAGTTATCAGTGGCCATGTCCAACTCTCCAGGAAGCTTCGAGCTTATGGGTACAGAAACTGTCCTGGACCATTGGGTTTCAGATTCCCATAACCGGATATTTGTTGTAACAAAGAAAAGCAACGTACAGAAAATCGGCACTGAGAGTTGGGCCACTGCTGTGAGATACCAGACCACACAGTCCCTGGTCCTTCTGCATTGGTCTGTGGGGGGAGAGTAGGGGTTTTTATTTGTTTGTTTTAAGAAGAGTTTAATGGCAGAGTTTTGGTGGCAATTCAAGAGACTGGGGGCATGAGGTTTCAGATCTCATGAAGGGGTCACTTGTGTTTCTATGAGAGAGAGCCTCGCAGCCACCCGCCCACAGACATGTTCTGTGACCACAATTGCATTTAAGGATAGCAGCTGAAATTTGAATTCTCTCTCTTCCCTTTTCTTTTTTCTTTCCTCTGTGCTGGATTTCAGAAATCACACAGGATCAACAGGTATGACTTCTGACTACATTCTCTACTCTATCTCTACCAACCAACAGCCGATTTGCAAAGAGCAGGCTGTGGCCTTTCCATGTTCAGAGTCTGAGTTTCCCTTTTTCATGAAAAAGTATTTTTTTCTTTGTTCTTTACTTTTTCTTAATTGGGTTTTGAGACTGAGCCTGAATTTCCCAGAAATGAAGGGAATTAAGGCCAAGCAGGAGGTGGTGATAATGAGGAACCTCATAGAGAAGGAAAGAAATTCGTGTGTGGGGTTGTGCACGATGCCAGCTCTGCCAGAGACTTCAAAGGCTGTACCCTCATGCCGACTTGTCATAGTCCATGCAGATTAGCTCCTTAGAGACCTGTGAACAGTCGTCTTTGCCTCCAGGACCTGACAGCTTTCTTTATGGAGTCTCAGAGTCATTAGATCAAAAGATGATGACCAACTCACCCAGCCAGCTGAGGGCCGAGGGTGGCATGTTCTGTGTGTGTGTGTGTGTGTGTGTGTGTGTGTGTGTGAGCACACTTGTGCATGTATGCGCACATGCACAGGCACCCATGTATGTTTATGTGTATGCTTGTGCGCACAGCTTTATAAAGGGCCCTGTCAGGCAGGTACATATTTGACAAAAGAATGCTGGGTTATCATAGTTTTTCAAGGACAATCACACATCATGGGAATCCAGAGTCAAATTGCGTCTGACACTTTATTTAAAGTCTAGGACATCTTGATGTTCAGCCCGAGTACACTAGTGCTAAAATGAAGGCTGCTCCATTTGAGAGTCGCCGTTTCTATTCCTGTCTCACCCGCATGAGTGCTGGGCAAGCACTGAGAGTCTTTTTCATCGCGATGACTCACTGAGAGCTCTCCCGCTGACATGATTCCAACTCCACCTTCTCTTCTCTCGAACAATGTGAAGGGCGCATCTGGAGGGTTTGGAAGCTGAATCGCAGATGGTACTCTGTAAAGCGCTGGTTAAGAAAGTTTACGTGGATTCTCAAGCAGGTTGACGAGATGTGGAAGGTTTTGTTTGTGTATGAGCAGGAGATTTGCGTAAGCATGACGTGATCAGTCAAACAGCAGTTCCTCTAGGCGCAGCAGAGTGGCTCAGGGCACTGGGCAGCCCGAGGTTAACTCTCAGAGGCAGTGACTCCCCACATCTCTCTCCTCTCTGTGAGGATTTTGTACTTCCCAGGTAGGTTTAAGAAGGAGAGCAGGGAAAAGGAAACTGCACAAGAGGATGGCTGGCTTATACCAATGTTTGCCTGATAATGTGGAAATAATGTATTCCCTACAACAAGATAAAATTAGGTGTAGCGCATCATCTGGTAGTTTATTAGATACTTTGTTCACTGCTGTCATCGAATCCCCGACAAGAGGCAGTCTAAGGGAAGAAAGGACTTACTTGACTCACGGTTTGAGGAGATCTAGGCCGCTGTGTGTGGAAGGGGTGCCAGTCTGAGATTTCCATTGTCACAGACCATGGAGCTTGGAGGCAACAATAAGCAGAGCAAGGCTGTAAACTCAGAACACACTCCCCAGCTGGATCCCACCTCCAAAGGTTCCTCTGGTGAGGCGGTGGTGGCGCACGCCTTTAATCCCAGCACTCGGGAGGCAGAGGCAGGCGGATCTCTGTGAGTTCGAGGTCAGCCTGGTCTAAAGAGCGAGTTCCAGTACTGCTACACAGAATCCCTGTCTTAAAAAAAAGAGAGAGAGAGACAAAAATATATATCCCAAAACAGCACCAATGGCTATAGCCAAAATTTTCAAACACATGATTCAGTGAAGGCCGCGTCACACTATATCATGCGCGTACATAGATTATCGATAAAGAAATACGAGATAATAACTTTTTGAAATTTTTATGGCATACGCAGTCACAGATGTCAGGAGATAACCAGCGAATAGCTTGAACTGATTGGTATTGCTATTAATTTTTTTCTTTTTTTGTCTCAGGAACTCAGGAGCAGCATCTTGTGATCGGCACCTAGGGACTTCCAGCCTGTAGCTGATGGCCTCTGCCCTTATTCTATAATCACACGGAGGAGTAAGAGCATGCTGCATGGCCAAGTGAGTTGCCGAAAGCCGCGAGTCTGCTCACGCCTTTGAATGTCATTTGCTTGTGCTAGGTTGCCATGCACCAGGGGTCAGCGATAGGGGGCACTGGGAAGACTGGGGACTGAGGGAGTAACAGATAAAAAGGCGCAGTCAGGCTTGAGGCTGAGGGGCACCAAGGGCAGCAAGGGTCATGCAGGCCGAGGAAGGCAGGGAGCTCATGGGGCTTCAATTTACATCACATATGAAACCTAACGGTAGACCCTAAGCAGGTTGTCATGGTCAAGGCTTCTTCAAGGATGGGACAGGCACCTTATTCCCTCCAATGTGGGCTGTTGTTCACTTCCCTGCCCCAAGGGATACGTTTTGTTATAAAATAGTACCCATGTGATGTCACAACCAGATGTCACAGTCCAGCAGAGGTGCACGGTGAGATCTTACAACAGGAAAAAAAAGACCTGGAGCAGCCGTTGCTGGCCTGCCGTGTTCATAGCGCTGGTACCTTGACACACACCCACATGTGCGTCCCGAAGCACTTAGAGCAACGTAGGAGTCTATTGCAGTGCCACCCGGAGCCTGCTATCTGACCTTGTGCCCATGTCTGCCTCCCACTACTCTGAACTGTTAACTCATCAACTATTGTCGCCGATGATGTGTCATGTGAATGTATGTGGCTTTCACAGTGACCTCCTCCAGCATCCATTCAGGACCATACCTATGCAGGTCGCCGATGATGTGTCATGTGAATGTATGTGGCTTTCACAGTGACCTCCTCCAGCATCCATTCAGGACCATACCTATGCAGGTCGCCGATGATGTGTCATGTGAATGTATGTGGCTTTCACAGTGACCTCCTCCAGTATCCATTCAGGACCATACCTATGCAGGTCGCCGATGATGTGTCATGTGAATGTAAGTGGCTTTCACAGTGACCTCCAGTATCCATTCAGGACCATACCTATGCAGGTCGCCGATGATGTGTCATGTGAATGTATGTGGCTTTCACAGTGACCTCCTCCAGTATCCATTCAGGACCATACCTATGCAGGTCGCCGATGATGTGTCATGTGAATGTAAGTGGCTTTCACAGTGACCTCCAGTATCCATTCAGGACCATACCTATGCAGGTCGCCGATGATGTGTCATGTGAATGTATGTGGCTTTCACAGTGACCTCCAGCATCCATTCAGGACCATACCTATGCAGGCTGTGTGTTTCCTAGACACAGGTGGGTTGCAGCTGGCTTATACCACACACGAGAGCATACTATTAAGTTTTTAAGAATTGTATGGCTTGGTATAACATAGCTAGCTTTAATCTGCCATGGTGGGAATACTTACAGCGCGGAAGTCAGCAGATACTGTAATTTGGATCTGTCTGTCACTGAGAAGGCAGTGACATGTTGCCAGTGTGCTATGCTCCAGCCCCTCATTGCCACGCAGTACCATTCTTGCTTCTGTTCATGATCTCAACCTGCTAATCGGTTGTGGCATTGCTGAGTTCATGCTTCTTTTATTTTTTACATGTGTTCCATGTACTAAAAAATACATCGAAAAGCTTAAGGATTTGGGTTAAGCATCTCTGGCTGGTTTTGGTGATTTTAGATAATGGAGTAAGTATTCCAGGATAGGAATGCCATGCCAAGCTGCACAAACCATTCACCTACTGCTATGGACACCAGTTCAAGGTCTTACCTGAGATAGTTAACTCTGTTAGAATTTCTAATGTATGTTTGAAACCCCACATTCTTTCTGTGTGTGTGTGTGTGTGTGTGTGTGTGTGTGTGTGTGTGTGTGTGTGTGTTAGCTGGTATTCCTGTGCAGAGAGGTTTCCCTCACTGGATGGACTGACTACTTTGTTATTCTGAAGAACATGCCAGAAAGGTAGGAAGATGGCTGAAGTTTTCCTACCATTTCAAAGGAGTTTTTTTTTCCACACCTACCTCAGATACTTACAAGTGAGATCTGTTAGGTTTTCTTTTTAAAACATCATGATGGACTCATTGGCTTTTTCTTAATTCAACTCTTTCAGTCCACTAGACCCATTATTCTTTTTGAAGTTCAAATGGTCATAACTCGGTCCATGGTAATTTCCCCACACTGGCTTCTAAGGTATGTCAGTGCAACCTCCCTGGCTTTCTGCCCCAAGAAGCTGCAACCTCAGTTTGCTCCTTTCCTTTCTGAGAATTGCAGTCATCACTATCAGTCTTTTCTCAAGGGGACTTTAGTTTTGTTTATTATGGGGAGCTGAAATATCCTCCCAGAAAACTAAGGATGTACACTCATGCTTTTTTTTTTTCTTTTTTTGGTTTTTACAAGACAGGGTTTCTCTGTTTTGGAGGCTGTCAGTCCAGCCTGGCCTCGAACTCACAGAGATCCGCCTGCTTCTGCCTCCCGAGTGCTGGGATTAAAGGCGTGCGCCACCAACGCCCGGCACACTCATGCTAAACTTTACATCATTTCTAGAGTTTTCCATTACACAACATTTATAAATAGAAATGTAAATTTATATTAAAATATCTTCACCTTAAATTTTTGTATTTGTGAATGATTTTTTACAGAAAATTTGGTTTCCTAACATCATAAAATTATATACATCTATAAAGCACTGTATATGTATATAATTGTTTGAAATTACTATGTAAGTTTTATAAAACTTATGAAAGAGGTTTGTGTATTGTGTACTCTTTCCTGCCAGCTGCCTGGGTTCTGCCGCTGTCTCAGCCCGCAAATAACACATGAGAGACTATATTATGATGCTGTTTTCTGTTTACTATGGTTTCTTAATAACCAGCTCTGACTTAACTATTAACCCATAATTACTAATATATATTTTTATAAGGTCTTATCTTACTGAGAACACCAGACTTGTGTCCTCTCCTGACTCTACTTTAGACTACATTTCCCAGAATCCTCCTCAACTCCTAGTCCCACCTGTCTTGCTTCCCTATTGACCAGCAGTGCTTTATTTATCAACCATTAGGACAAACATATACACAGAAGGGCTTCCCCCATCAGGTTTTTTTCTCCCTGTGGTTCTTTCTGGCCACAAAATAGTTTAGATTACATATCGATAGTCAAAACTTTTGCGTGGAAATTTTCAGTTACAATTTAATAGAGATGGTGTTCATTTCTTTCAACTCAGATTGTTTTATGTAGTTTATTTTTTAAAACCAATACATTATTCAAAAATTATAGAATGTATGCACATAAAAGTCTTGCTTTGAAAGTTTCTCACTCAATAGCTTTGTGTAATTATTTATTTTGTTTACACTTATAATATCTTCTCATATAATATATGCATGTCAGTAATGTATCTGTTTATCATTTATCACTTGTTTATTTATATATAAAGCATTTGTTTATCATCTTTATCTATTTATCACCTCTCTGTCTATTTTTTAATCTTCTGTCATCAAGCTATCATCTGTTTTAAATGCCAGTCATCATCATCATCATCTATCATCTCTCTCTCTCTCTTGCTCTCGCTCTCTCTCTCTGTCTATCATTTATCTTCTGTATACCCATCTATCATTTACCTACCTATCCATTTACCTACCTTTACATGTCTTACAAGTCTTCTTTTTTGCTCTTTTATAGTAGTTTTGGGGAATCTGTTCACATCAATACATTAATTTTTTTTCATTGATTTTTCACTTCCACTAAAGGCTTCTACTGAATCTGTACCATTGCTTGGGTTCTTCCCATTTTTGCCTTTTCACAGCGCACGGCTGTGTATTAAATATTATCCCATGTCCAGCTGTGTATAAGGTGCTATCCAACAGTGGAGTTGTCGGGCGGAAGGGCGAATGCCTTTGTCTGTTTCCTAGGTACCGCCTCCCTCTTCTTCAGTGCTGCTGTGCTACCCCACTCAACACATGACCTGCGAGCCCGCGTCTGACCATGAGCTTTATCACAGATGGTGCTGTGAGACTGGAGGTGAGCAATGTCCCAGCATGCACTCATCTTTCCTTTTCCTTTGTCTTTTTCTGTGTGTATTTGCCTTTGTGTGTGTGTGTGTGTGTGTGTGTGTGTGTGTGTGTGTGTGTGTGTGTGTGTCTGTGTTGTGAAGGAAAGAGGCCAGTGTCCGGTGTCTTTCTCCGTTGCTCTCCACCTTACTCTGAGACTGGCTGACCAGTGAGCCTCAGAGATCTCCCCGTCTCTACCCCCACAATGCTGGGGTTTCAGATGCACGCTTCCACGCTGAGCATCAGACGCGGCCCCACTTTCGTTCAGAAAGCACCTTATGAGCTGAGCTGAGCCCTCCCCCCGCCCCGCCCTCACTTGCATTTCTTCTCATGTATATGTGGTGCTGAAAGCCGTTTTTACGTGTTTGAAGGAAGATTCTGTATTATTATTTCTGTTTCATTCGCCTTTGTTCCTTTGCGACGGGGCTTCATTGGGTAGCCCCCGCCAGCCTTGCATGCTACCACGGCGTTCTTAGTGCTAGGATTGCAGGGGTGCACACCCTGCCTGGATTGGTACTGTGCTGCCCATTGTAGTCTGCGTTTCCAGTCTCGCTTGTGATGGACTTCTGGGAACCCTGTACTTCCAGGCCGAATTCTCGCGTGGTTGCGATCTCCCTTCACCTTGTCGGTGGTGCTTCTTGCTCCACAGACTTTTTCATTTCCACGTGTTCACATTTTCTTCCGTGGGCTGGGGTTTTAGTGATATAAGAGTGTTATGAGAGTAATATTACAAGGGCTCTGTGGTATTAAGGGGATTTGCTTTGCATAATTTAATTATATTTGTGCTTAGATATTTGATATATTTAGATTGCTTTTTTCAGTGTTGCTTGACATGTGATTTACACCCTGCTGATATTTTCACTGGCTTGTTTATCATACGCACTATGCCTGTGCCACCTCTTTGTTTCTTATATGTTAGCTCCTCTGCACCCTCTTTCTCTGTCCCTTCACCCCACCTCTCTTTTAAGGCCCCGAGTGAATCCCACCTTCATTAATGATGTAATTGACAACAGAGACAGTGACTGCCCATGAAACTGTGCATCTCACGTGGCTACTGGCATCATGGGTTTGAGTCAGACTCACTGATGTGTATTCCTGGTTGATGCCCATATAACATACCTAACAAATGAGAAACCTCCTAAAAGCAGGGGTCATATTTTATTTGTCTGTGTGCCTCTCAGCATCTGACAGAGCACCGGACTCTGTGCTGTCGAGACTTCTGCCATTTGCTACGCTTTCACGGGTAAGAAGCATCCTCCCTTGGTTCTTTCTAGTCTTCTGAGGAGTCTTCTAGTGCATTGCCTAGGGAAAAAAGAACTCATTGAATTGAAACTAGAGTGGTTCTTCAGCGTGAACAGAAACGAGCAGGAGGGTAGCAGGTGGGAACTGCAATCGGGACAGTCATCCAGCTCATGCAGCGGTTGGGTTTAATCTGCACGGATGCCATTGGCACTCGGCAAACCAGAGGTCCAAGATCTATCCACTGAGACACTGGGCTTCCTGATGACTGGGACCTCTAGGACTTGTTTCCTCCAGGCAAATAACTTCAAGGTGGCATTCTTTTTTCACTCAATCTTTATTCTGCAATCAAGATAGGGTCTGTTGTTGCCTAGGGCCTTGAAGAGCAACACGAATGGAAATTTGCCCTGTATTCGTCATGATCAAGGTTGGTCACCGGTGGAAAGGGAGAGGAAAAGCAGAGGGGAGGTTGAAGCCAAAGGGCTACTTACTACTTGGGTTTGGGGTATAAATCACATATCAAGAGCTTTGTAAACATCACTGAAGATAGTAAACCAGACAAATCAAATTTGTGAGCAAATAAAAGGAAATTATATAAAAGAAGAAGCAAGTGATTTACTTAAAACTACAGAACACAGAAGAGCTTTCTCATGTCACTCAGAAACCAGACCAAGGAAGAAAAATGACAAAAATGTGAACATGTGGAAAATGAAAACATCTGTGTTTCAAGAATCATCCCTTGTCAAAGTGAAGCTTTGTCTAGCAAGCTAGAGATGGGACAGAGTGGGGTTCATCTTGTTTACGGTGTAAGAGGGGGATGTTTTGGACTGAACAATAATTTCCTACACTATACAACTGCCTTTCTTTTTGAGGACTTAGTGCTTTCTTCTGCAACTGAGTTTTCCTCACTCCGTGTGGCAGATATGAGTCTGGCTGTGCCATGCACTTCCACCAATGGCAGGGCTGCCTCCAAAGGGTCCAGGGACCGTGGAGGGGCTGTTGAGTCCAGATATATCTCCTGAGTGCCTGGAGGCTGCAGTTTAGTCTCTCTGACGTCACTTCTGGTTGTCGTGTCTGGAGGTCTTGTGCCTACTTGGTGAAAACTCCCTGGTACCAGTAGAGGTGCACAGTATGCGTATTGGTTATCATTTACAGCTGCATTCATTAACGTACCCTGGATATACTTTTGTGGCGCACGCCTTTAATCCCAGCACTCGGGAGGCAGAGGCAGGCGGATCTCTGTGAGTTCGAGGCTGGGCTGGACCGACAGCCCCCGAAACAATACAGAGAAACCCTGTCTCGTAAAAACAAACAAACAAACAAACAAAAAGAACTCACGTGGATGTCCGCTGCACACCTGAGAACCAAACAAAGCATTGACAACCGGGAACATGCTATTCTGACTACTCCGTTTCTGTCTTGGCTTCCAGGAAGCCGGAGACACTCCCTGTACTTTGGATGAACTAAATCTGCTCCTGTGAAAATACATTGTACAGAAACCTCAGAATGGGGGTCCGAGTGTCCTGAACCCATATGTCAGGAAAATAGCAAAATACTGGTTCAGTGGGTCACATGTGTATCGCTACAACCCAGGGCCACATTTGCACACTTACTGCCTAGCGTCTCCATTCATGCTGTGTGTCACAGACATGAAGACACTTTGGAGAACGAGATAAACCCCACCAGGGCTAAAGAAGTGCGTGAGAACTGGGTCAGAAAGGGAGCAGTGTGATCTCCACATCCATGCCCCCTGGTGGGAAGATTGTGGGTAAATACACAGCTGCGTCTCCTAGTATCTGAAGACCAGCCAAGGATTCAAGGGCTCTGCCTACCCTCAACGTGTTATATCCATCCCCTCATTACTTCTGCCCCTTCCTCCTTCTCTTCCCCTCTCCCCCTTTTCCTTCTTTTTCCATGTTACCTTCAGTCTTTTCTATTTTTCACTTTGTTCATGATGAGCAAGTATTCTATCTCTGATCCTAAACCCATTTCTCCTTCCTTCCTTCCTTCCTTCCTTCCTTCCTTCCTTCCTTCCTTCCTTCCTTCCAGTATGTATTTAGAATTGCTATTTACCAACACTTGTGAAGAAACTGGTTGTAAATCATAGAGCAGATGGTCTGAGAAAATAGATTTATAGACTAACCACACACATAAGCAGCAGATAGCAAAGGATATATGGAGAAGTGTGGGGACGAGAGCTCTGGGTATGTGGCTGCTTCGCTCTTGCCTAGTTAAGAGTAGATGAATACCCTCATCAATATCCTCAGGTACTACTTCAGATGAGAAGGGACCATCTCAAGGAAACCCTGCCCAGCTGCCAGATGTCTCTTAGAACTCCAAACTCATCTGTCATCATCCTAGTGGTTGTATTAAGGCTACATATGCCATTTAATACAGCTTAAATTCGTTGCATAATTTCTGTCCCTTTTACTCAACATAAAGGGATGTCTTGGAGATGAATAAGGTTTCCCATTTGAAAGGTAGGGAAAGTAACTATGTTCTTCATGTGATTAGATGGGGAGGATCTTAATGGCTGTCTCTACAGGAAAGACATATGTAATAAAATACTGTTGTCTATTATTATGTTAAGATTGAAAAATCAAACAGAGGGTAAACCAAGGGCCCTTCCAGGCCCGCCTGAAGAGGCCTCTTATAGGTCAGGGGATCAACTCAGCACTAGCCTTGGCTCCTTCACGTTCACCAGCTTAACTCTGCATCAAACCTGAAAGTTCATTAAGGCCTCAGTACTTGAGACACATCACATAAAACCTGAATATTTATGGCAAGTTGGCATGTAAAGTTTCTACAAAGTGAGTCTTTCCAAACAGTATTTTAGAATAAAATGCTAGAATACATAACAAGAGATGTTTAAAGTATTTGTGAATGTGATTGGGAAGTCCTTCTGTGTATATGTTGTCCTACTGGTTGATAGATAAAGCACTGTTGGCCAATAGGGAAGTACGATAGGTGGGATTAGGAGTTGAGGAGGATTCTGGGAAATGTAGTCAAGAGTGGGGAGTCACCATGTGATCCTGGGAGGAGAGGGCACAAGTCTGGCATTCTCTGTAAGACAAGACCTTATAAAAATATATATTAGTAATTATGGGTTAATAATTAATTCAGAGCTAACCATTAAGAAACCATAGCAAACGGTCAACAGCTTCATAATTAATATAGTGTCTCGAGTGTTATTTGGGGGCAGAGAAAGCGGCGGGATGCCTTCAGCTGGAGGGAAGAACACGCATTACATGAATGGCTTGTATGCATCTTAGAACTATCCACTACAACTCAGTAATTAGACATCCTGATTTCCTATCTTCTAAAGAGGTTTCCTGTAAGAATTAAAAAAAAACTTTTAATCTCTTTTGAACTTGGATGGCAAACCTAAAGTCTAAGCTATTCCATACTTAGCAGTAATATAGTAATATCTTACTATAACCTACCAAACACTGTTACATTAGTGATTGACGCAGGGTCCCGATCTGTGGTTGCCAAGTCAATATGAGTTATGTCTTCAGAAAATAGCATGGCGCTCATGTTTCCACATGGAAGAAATTTGTTTTACAACTATGGCTTCAAGAGGAATATAAGTCAGCGAAATAAAATTGGTTCTATACCTCAAACCTCAAGTGCCATAATGTATGAAGAATTCTGAGGGTACAAGGCACTAACATCATATGTCTGGAGAAGGCCAGCTTCAGAGTCTATGGGGAGGGAGAAAATCCTTTACCTAAATCAACTAATGGAGCTCAAGTCTGGCAGTAGAGACTTTACATGTTTAAATATAGATC